CAGAAATATTTGGAAACAGAAAGCAAAATTCTGTCTTTATCCTCATGATAAATCAGATATTTATTCTTTATTAAGAATAAGGACTAGAATCACCAGCGAGAGAGAGAGAAAGAGAGAGAGAAGGCTGAGAAGTGCTCCCCTCTTGTCTCAGGTAGTGACCATCGGTTGTACATTACTTTACACAAGCACTACAATAAGGCAAACTCACTACAAAGTGATTAGTGAGTGATTTTGGACAAAGCCACACACAGACAGATCCACAAAGCCATAGCAGCAATGCATTCTGGACCATAAAAGTAGCTGAATGTCCATATAAAAGAAACTGTTTTCTCTGATAGGTTATTTGACTGTTGGGTGTTGTACAAAACAGACTCAAAGTAACCTTCCTTAGCCTTTTCAGTCTTCTTCACCTCTCCTTCCTTAAATTCTTGCACTCTGTCGTTCTCCTCCTGTCTTCTTTTTCGTTTTTGTACGTTACAGCTTACCCTGTCAGAGCAGCGCAGGTGAAGGAGAGAACAGTCAAATTGCTGCAGACACAAACTAATGGTTCAAATCATTTAGCATGGTGCAGTTTTTCCTGACCCGTAAGTGTATGTCTCTGGTAGTGGGTAGGGGATATGCCATCTGGGCATCAGGAAGATGGTGCGTACCAGGTGGATAATGTTACACAAGATGAGGAAGAGAAAAGATGTGTGCAGAGACACTCCTCTTTCATGTAGCAACTATAGACAGACAGAGGAAAGGAGATGATGTAAGCGCTTTTAATTTTGTGATTAAGGATCAAAGAGCCACGATATAATACGATAAGCATACCTTTATAATGAAACAAACTGCTGCAGAGGATTCAAATGCTCCATTGTATAAGGTGATGATGGTGGAGCGATAGGAATGAAACAGGTTCCCCACCTTAAGAGAGAAGTTGTGTTCTAGCTTAAGCACTTTCTCACACCGACAAGTGAGGTGAAATATTTAAACTAGGTCACCACACACCTGAGCATTGGTCATGTAGAGCATCATTCCAGCAATTATGATACTTGACAAAGCCGGGTAGAGCAACAAAGACGTCTCTGTGTGTGAATGGAAAGAGAGCAGATATGTTTTCTAATTTACAGTATTGGCACAATACAATAAAAAAGCAACAACATACCTGCATTTGACAGTGTGATAAGCAGTGTGCCAATGGTGTAAAATGATCTGCAGGCAGATAATTTCATGATCATGAGAGTGTTAGGACTTTTAATTATTTTTTTATTGTCAAGGTGTAAGGACTCTGATATACAAAATAGGAGACATGTCAGGGGTTAGGTAATCTGTCCAAAATTGTGTTTTTATTTTAAAGCAGCAATTTAAAATGATAACATGCTCCGACAAGACAATCTCAATCCACCTCGCCTGCAAAACACATATCATATAAACACTCATTCACATGTGTGGGCCAGTTTAAACAGGAAACAGATTGTCTGTGTGATTTGGTTGCATAGTTGCAAAATTCTACAGACCAGAAACAGCAATAGAGAAAAGGGGTTTCTTATATTGGGCAGACAATGAGGTGAAAATGCTTTGAATTCACCACTGTTAAGAAGTGACTAATAAGAGCCAATCAGGAAGTGAACGAGAGTGTTTTCACAAGTCTTCATTCCTTCTCATGCAGACAAAGAAATATCACACCAAAACTGTGTCTGCCCGAAAAGTGTCCTTTTGAAGGGTTTGAAATCTTTGGAGAGGTGTGGACGTCAGGTGTAAACTTTTTTCAGTCAATGCTGCAAGGCATGAGTGAGAGTAGAGGCCATGACACACACTGTGTATAGGTGCAAACTCTTGGCTTAAAATTGTCCAACTACCTTTGTCAGGTTTGTGTCACCTGCAGGTTGGAGAACCCCTGAGCCAATTATGGCCCATGTGACAATTCATAACTAGAAAATACATAAAACATAAACAAAACATTGTGGGGGTGGTTTGTAGAACACATCAAGCTGAACCAGAGAGGGTTCATTCGATCAGCTAAGGTTAGTTGGCCAATTACTCTCTCTGGATTATAAAGCGAAAGGAGAGCTGCCATGGAAAGAGAAAGAGATGGAACAGACTGGACAGAGCTGAGCTGCCGGTGATTTTCAGTTGCTGCTTTTGTATTTATTTAGCTTCAGTTGATTTTGCAGTTGAAATAAAAGCATGTTGAAATGGTTGAATGGTGCAAACTTGACAGACAGATATCGTGACGGTGTACTCACATTGCCATTATCCTTGTAGCTGCAGTTCCACAGCGATCAAAAACATATCCAATGGGGAAGCGCAATATTGTGTTGACAATGGAAGCGACTGACATGACCTGAGAGAATTGCTCGTCCTGACCACTACAATCTGGAATGGGCAAAGAAAAACTTAATAATGGTAAAATACATGTGTGTTGTATCATCTAACAGGTATGAACTGGGTATATCTTTTTGTGTTCTTTAAACTAAGAAACTAAGAATACAATCTATTCTTCTTCTTCAATCTACAAACCAACTGTGTTGTTTAACTTTGAATTGATCAAGCAGAAGAGCTGGTTTTTGTTTTATTTGCCCTACTTCTAGAACTGTATGATTTCAATGGTTTTTAAACTGTTGTTGTTGCTGTTGTGTTGCCTGCATGTCTATGTATATTTCTGTACCTGTAATTATATCCATGTTGTGTGTATCTTCATCTCTGGTGACATTGGTGCAGTATGCAGCAAAGTATCCATCAACTTTCAGAACAAACACAAGAGAAGCCCAGCCATAGGCAATCCCTGTGAAGAACAAACTCTCCACCAGTCCAGACAACAGTGTCAACCAGTGTAGTAATTTCACTTCTCCCCCTTGAATTCTTAGCATGTTGCCAAATGGTTCAGCTGAGCCAGGAGAGTGAAGTACAGCTGTAAAACTGTAAAGAATTCACAAAGCAGGATCACAGGGGTCAGCTGGAGACAGGCAGTCAGTACGATGGAGAAGCAACACACACACACACACACACACACACACACACACACACACACACACACACACACACACACCTGTTGCAGTTTATCACACTGAATTGTACGTAACCTTTCTATAAATACAACACCTCCTTCAATCCTGCAAGCCTTACCTGTTAAGCTGGTTAGATTTTTGGTCAATGATCAGCAAGAGATCCTTATTCAGATCTCACAAATGTTCCCTCTTGATCATTACCTAATCCACTGTCTGTGCACCTCAGCCAGCTCACTGCCACTGTAAAGACTGGAGTAGAACCACGAAAGAAAAGAAGCAAGCTCGCGAGGACGGCCCGGAGGCCAGGAAGGCGGAGCTACTCCCCACTGAAGCAGAGAAGGAATGTATGAAGGTCTGTACATTTACAATAAAATACAAAATAGTGAAAGTTTAATTCCACACATTCACCCACATCACTACCACATGCACAGGTTGCAGTCACTTAAGGTCATTCATTAATATTTTCACATAGTAATATTCTTTGTTCCTTTTGATAGTTGGTTTAGAGTTGTCTTTGTTTGAGTTGTCTGGAGTTCTCCTTCCTGGTTTAGCAAAAGACCTGAGTTTGGGGCGGAGCCTGGATTAATGCAGAGGAGCTATAAGAGCTATATGTTGCCCTCATGGCTCATTTTGGAAGGTCTGTTAATTGAGTTGACATCCTATTTTGTTTGACTTATTTTCAGCAGTTGACCTATTTTAAGGGCCCTATAACTATGTTAATTTAGTTTCTTCAGTATTTGTATATTGTTAAAACTTTTTGGGGGGAAATTAAGCTCACCATTTTCTTTAAATTTGTGTTGTACCGGAAATTAGAATGTACAATGTGATGAGCAGGTTATATTTATTTTGTGGGCATATGTATGCTATTATCATCAATTCTGTTTCCTATTTTTAATGTTAAGGATATAAGGATATAAGGAGCTTATCTGCTGATTTTATTGTTATTAATTCAACACATGTACACACACAGCCCCAGGATTAAGATAAATGAATCATTTGCAGAACATGATATTCCCAGGAAATATATAGATTTCATTGGAATGTAGAGGATAATAACATAATGTTTTGGGAGTTAGAAGAGGCAAGACAACATGGAGGATCTTCCCTGACTTATTTGTCAGCAAATATTCACTCTTAACCGAACATTGGTATTCAGCACTAATGTATGATTGACAAAGTGCTGTGTATAGAAGCAGTGCATCTATGTTTGTGTGCAAATGTAAAAGAATTGAAAAGCTATATAAATACAATCCATTTACCATTTGAACACACAACTTCCCCACAGTCACTTAACTATTCAAACCCCAACAATGAATGAATAAATAAATAAATAAATGAATAAAAATAATTATTATTATTTCAGTAGCATAGATGCTCCTCTCTCTTTCAGTGTGTGACGTGGGTTCTGATCAAGGGATGTTTTCTCTCGCCACTGTCACAAGTATTATTTCATCACAATGAATGAAACGTGCATGGAGAGAACTTCTGCAGCATGAATGTGAACACACTCCATCACTGCACACTCCTGTCTGCTCCACAACAGCCCCTTCATTCAATGACCACGCGGGGGCAGTATCGTCTGAATTTTACAGAGAAGTGTTATTTCCAGACATTTAAATTATTTTAATAAACAATAACAACGTGAGCTGCAGCAGCCTTTGTTATTTTCCTCTATACAATGAAGGGAGCTGAATCAAGTGAAATTCAAACAGCAAAATGACCAAACAATGATTTGATATGAGCATCCATCAAATCGTTATTGGGTTGTTTTGTGTCTCATTCCTATCTGAAGTCATGTTGATGAAATAAATAATGGCACGATAACATGATATATCCTGTGTGCCTCCACCCCTGCTCTGCTCCGCTCCGCTCCGTGCTCGTCCCCTCCTCTTCCCCCCCAGCGGAGAGAGAGGAAGAGCAGAGACAAGTGAACAACAAGCCGAGGAGGCACAGGATAGGAAACTGCAGAGGAGGCACAGGGAGGAAGCTAGGAAACTGCAGAGGTGGGTGTTTTCTCCGTCTTCACAGGCGTGTTTTCTTCCGCTCCGCCACACCGACTTGTTTCTGGTCGTCTCATCCCGACTCACGTCCGCCTCTTCCCCCCGAGCCTGCGGGTCGTGTCAGCGGCAGCGGCAGTCGGCTAGGCCTGAATCCAGCTCCGCAAACACTTATGGACTTTGGGAAACAAGCGTAGCGGCCTCCAGAAGCGGTAATGAAACGCGTCTCCTCTGGTCCCGTGTGCTCGGAGGAGCCGGGGTGAAAGCACAGCACGAGGTGGAAACGGGAGCGAGTTTAAAATGTGGGGAACTTTGTTGTAATCGCAGCGTTAGCATGCTAACCACTGCAGCGCAGGCTAGCTCAGCTAGCATCGGTGTATTCCACTCGTTAGCTTGATGAATAAGTCATCCACAGTTGGACTTGGGGAAAGTTTAACCAAACTTTTACATGCAGGGGGAAAAGGTTCAGATGATGGCGACTGAGACACAAGTCTGCCCCACTGATATATTATGCTTTAGCTAATATGTGGCATTGTTAAACGGCTGCTGTGGTTTGCGGCTTGTTGTTGTTATTGCGTTACACGCTGAGTGCTTTCTGTCTTTAAAACACGGAGGAGATTCTCCCACCAGACTTTTCCCACAACTTCCCCCCACACTCGGGGGTTAACCGGACAGGCGAGGGTACACGGAAGTGACCGGACAGCCCGCCGTGTCACACACCGCAAGTCAGGAGTCAAAGTCCAGTCTCGGATCACTTATCAGTTTCCCATTGTGTGCTGTTCCTGGAACGCCCACTCTCTGCGGACTGTGGCGCTGAACGCTGCTTCTCAGGTGATCATGCTCACCAGGTTTGTCTTTCTTTGGGAGATTGTCCTTTTAATGTGTTCAGTCTGTGGAGACGCGCAGTTTGTTGTTTCAGCCCCTGTCTCTTGATGTGGTCTGCCGGGTAGAGGAGGGAGACAGGGCTAGTGGTTCTGCTGGAGCAGCTAGGGACAAAAGCAGGAACCTGTTGTGTGGGTCTGGATGTGTGGGTGTGGTAAGGTGGCAGGCCTGTTTGTGGCTTCATTATTCAGACTCTTGTTTCAAAGGGTTGCAACACAGACACAGGGTTACTCAGGGGGACTTGACTGAATCTGCTTCAGTGGGTCACGTCCTCTGGTTTCACTTTGTAATCACGATCAACTGTAGTTTCTGTGTGTGGCTTTAATCATTGCGCATGATTAACACACAGACGTGTTTCTCATCACGTCCCAAGTTACTTTGATTTGTCAAATCGTTTTGATACTGTCAGCCGATCTGTGATTTTCAACACACTACGGACACACTTTCCAATTAACTGTGATTTGTTGATTTGCGTTGATACTGTCAGCTGAACGGTGAGTTTCAGTACAGCGTGGACATGCCTCGCATATTCCTCTTCAGCCCCCCCACCCTAGGGCATGTCTGCTCTGACCTGTTGGAACTGGAATGGAAGTGATTGTGAGCAAGTTTGGACAAGCTGTTTGTTCTGAAATGTCCCCTCTCTGTAAATGTAAAAAGGAGGGACAAAAAAGATCAGAAGTTGGATATTTCTTCTGCTCCCTACATTTTTTTTTCCCTATAGCAATTTTGTCTTTGGGGGCTGGAGTCTTGCTGCTCAGCCAGTTTTTTTTAACCAGGGCTATCATTTGTGAGCCACTGTAATGACGGGCTTTCAGAGCATGCCACGGGTGTGTCCCTCTGACACACAGAAGCTGGGGTTTTCTTGTACTCGCTCCTCCTCTCTGTCTGTGCTCTCTCATTCTTTCTCCTTTTTCTCATCTCTCCACCTCCAACGGTTCCACCTGCAGCTGTGTTTTTATTTGAACCGTGAGCACGTCATTGCACAGTCCATGCAGGGGGGTGTCATGTGAGATGTGTGATGATACTGACGGTGAAATCAAAGTCCACAGATTCCTCTAAAGCCGTGGAGCTGGACTGTGTTACAGTACTCTCCCTCAGAGCTGGTGGTTAACTTCTCGGAATAGTTCAGTGCCAGTTTGCCTTTTTATGGTCCTCACTGCAGAAATCTAACCAACTTCCTTGTTGAGTGGCGACCACGCTCTTTTTGCAGTTCACCAGTAGTAAATCTGTACGGACTGCTTAACATTAGTTTTTTTTGGTAGGCCATATTCCACAGTAGTGATTGACCAGGAATATTTATTAGTTTACAAAAATCGTTTGAAAATGAGTTAAGCCACCTGTACATATGAGAGGGGTTTTGTCTGTGATACTCTAACCCAGTCAGCTGAGTCAGTCTGATTACTCACCAGTTTTATTACTTATATCTTGACTTTTGATGAATAAAGTTCATCATTTACCATACAGTGATTTAGTGATGCCATGATATTGATTTCAACTATAAAATACTAGTCCTACACCATGTTTGGCCCATAGAATGATAATAGTTCAGACTGGGTGTCGTCATTAGCTCCTCAATTCAAATTAGTTCCGATTCATTAGGTCTGTGTCAGTTTTGCTTGGGTATGAAGTTGCCTGCTTCTCATTTGTCTTTTACACCCAAATGAGCAGGTACACAGAAATAAACCAGCTAAAAATGCAAATGGATCCTTTCCCATTGCCAGTAGAGGAGTTTGCCTTTCTGTTTTTTTACCTTGGGCGTCATGTACCAAAACTGAGGTGCTCTCTCACCTCTCTGTCTTGCCTAATTAGCACATTCAACAGGTCTCACATTTCCATCCACAGCGTGGTTTAGAGTGGAGTTCAAATTTGCCCCGCAACTTCAGCCTGTATTGCAAATTAAATTAATAAATGAATTGTGTTTGTCAGAAGCCATTATTTTCAACAACATTGTAGAGGTGTATATTCTTACAATAGGATGGTTGTGTTAGTGCAAAAGGCTTCTCCGGAGTGGTTTGCATCTGAAGGTAGTTGGCTTATATCGTGTTAAATCATTAAGGAGATTATCGTTATTCTTCTCCATGTCTCCCACCTCACACATGGATTTGCTTTTGTCCAGCGCCTCACTGTTTTTGGAAATTGATTTACTCTTCCTTAAATCCAGCCAGACAATTGGTGATAGAAGTATGATATGTATATACTTGGAGGAGACAGCTGTTTTCCTTCAGGAAATTGTTTGACCATTGTGGTATGGCATTCTGGGAAGTTGTGAAGGGTATTTCCTTGACGATTGATGAAATGATTATGACACACACATGAATAGATAATAAGGTGCATTAGCTAAAGCACTTGTTTGATACAAAATTTCTTATCTGACATTGGCGTGTTTTGTCTGGGAGGAGTTTATTTACCATGTGGGTTTTATAGTCAGGAAGTTAGAGGCATTCAATGTTTGATCCACTTCAAATGATGCTGCGGTATGAAAAGACAAGATTAATCGTGGTATTACAAACCCAGGAGATATTGAGCCTCATATTAATATTGTATCCAGATATATCAGTGCTCCAGTTAGATGTACTTGAAGTCACTGGTTCGTACTTTGCTCTTGTGTGCCCTCTGAGTTACAGCTGGCTGCGTGTTTCCTTCCTCACTAAGAATAGTTAGTTGGTGTCCTGTAGATTAGACAGCCGGCCTTGCAGAGGTCCCTGAACAGTCTGTATGGAGTGTGAGTGAATGTGTGGGTGGGCGTGTGTGCGTGCATGTGCACATGCACTCACTCTGCAGCTACCACACTGCAGGCCACATGGGAGGGTGGTGTTGTTGGTGGTGGGGTTCACGGTTTCAAGTCAGAACAGTAAAGGCAGTAGTAGTTGGAGGTGGGCCAAGGTTAACACACACACACAAGCCAAATCTGTGTGTGACCATTCAAATGAGGCTGAGTCAGCAGAGCATTTGGCCAAGCCACAACAGCATTTTACCATAGCTTCACCTCAGCTTTGGGTGTGGGTGGGTGGGTGGGTGTGCATACTGGAACAGAATGCACATCAGCCTGCCACAGCACCAGTGACTGAGTCGCTGAAGTAGCAATAATAGCAACATGATAATAAGGGAATACTTTGCAGTCACTCAGTGGGCAGTGGGTGACAGACGTAAAACCTGACTGAGGGTGTAGTGGACACTGACTGTTCATCTCTGTTGTGTTTAGGCTCTGGACAGTAAGTGGCTTAGCAGTGTATTTCCTGGGCTATCCCATTAGCAGATACGATTTAGCGCTGCCACAAAATGGACTTAGAATGGATTAATGATTAATGCCCTGGCATTAAGTGGCTAAAGCCATTTAAAACTCTCTCACAAGCAAATGCACTCTGCCACAAGAATGTAAGCGGTGAGACTCGTATAGCTACAGGCTCTATGGGTCTGTCTGACTATTGCACACAATAGACAATCTTCTTCTAAACTCTCAAAAAGTGTTAATGTTGACAGAGGTGCAAAGAACAGCTTTGATTGGTACGTTGATGTGATGTGCTGGTGTCAATGCTTCATCGCTACAGACAACTTTAATGACACGTCAAATATTTGTTGAGACATGGCTGCCACATAAAGACTACGCCCACGCTACTACGTTTTCATTTGAAAATGCGTTAACTCTGCCACAAATATGTCTGTGTCCAGAGTTTGAGAACAGAAGTTTATTTGGAAACGCTGCTGACCTCGTTTTAGTTTTTAAAAAATTAGTTTTCGCCCTTAACGTACTCAGAACTTTACAGAGGTAACATACAGTCACTTGAAATTACATAAAATTGTCTTTCAGTTTACACGCATTATCCACTATAGAAGCACTTTGTTGGTTTGTGGTCGACTGCCCCGATTGGGTCAGTGAACGTAACGGCTCCCACTCTCCCTTTTCCAGGAGTGAAGTGTTTGGCTGGAAAGAAAAAAAACTTGGTGTGAGAGAAGGATGAGAGCAGTGCAATGAAAGACTGAAGGGCTCCCTTATTAGGACAGCTTCCAAGAGCTGAGACAGGATATGACACGCCAAATCTCACTGTGGAATGTATGACAATGGCTGTGTGTGTGTATGTGTGCGGCTTATGTGTGCTTCTGTCCACAAATGTGTGTTTTATTTTTCACACAAATGAAAAGAAACAAGGAGTCGCGTTAACTTCACTGAAATGCAACACAGCTTTGTTTGAGTATTCAAGGATAAAATCAATGTCAGCCAAGCACACACCTGCCACCTTCATTTTGATTCTGACCCCACAATCACTCGGATGCAGACACACACTCATGCTGGATACAGGAGTCTTTGTTCACTCTGACAGCCGTGTGTGTGCGGATGGAGAGCAGATTTGATCTACATGAGTCAGTGGACTTTGAAGTAGAAAATGGTTTTTGCCCTGGTTTGGAGATGAGCCACACTCATGTCATCCCATTACTAGACAGACGCTACTCCCGTAATCCTCCACAGATTCCTCATTCCTCCCTTACCAGGATGTCTGCTGAGGACGTCAGAGAAAAAGCACTTTGTCACTGTCATAATTTGTGCTGGAGTGACATTTCCTTATCATCATGCCTGTGTAATTCACCCTGAGGGCATCTATGGCATTTGTTAAGGCCACATTTCCTTCTTAAAGGCCACTTTGACAATTAAAACTCTTTGCTGATCTTGCTTAGATGTTTCAGGCAATGTTTTTTGTTCAGTTCCCTTTACATTTGAATGATCATTTCACCCCCGTGTTTTGACTTGACTTGAATTGACTTGAATGAATGAGTTAATCTTTTCTTCTGAATTATCTGATGTCATATTTTGATTGTAAGTCATGTGGTGGGAGATTGAGATATGAGTTTAAGTTTTGCTTTCACCTAATATATCACTGATATTTTACGTTTAGAATTGAGTGCCGGGGTTGATGAAGCTTCTAACACGTGACAGGTACAAAAATGAATAAAACTAAAAGAAAACAAATATCTCAATTGGTCAAAAAGCAGTGTCATATGTACAAGACACTGACAAAGATGTCAAGAGAGTTTGTCGTTATTATTCTGCAGCTTTTCTTGAACTGTCGTTAAAAGAAATTAAATCTCTTATCACAGTATGGACAATATACAGTATTATGGATGGCGTGTAGATGAATTGGCATCCGTATTCCAGCCAGTAAATGAAGCACAGTAGAAAGTATGCTCTCACACTTGTCTCCCTCTCCATTCCCAACTGTCTCTACAACCTTTGAATTAAGAAGTGATAACAAGCTCCACACGCTGCAGCTGAAAACTTGGTGTAACCTTCTCTTGTCGTGTATCTCACTTTCCTTCTATTTTTAATCCTGCACAGCAGAAGGTGAAAAAGAATACTGAAACCCGGAGTGGTTCACTTGCATCCCTCCTCTCACATAGAATTTAAACTGAATAATCACTTTTTTAAAAATGAATTCTCCCATGATTAGCTTTTTCCTCAGTCCTGCTGTTCACCCTCCCTCTGTATCTTGCTCTCGTTCTGTCTGTAGTCACGTTTTCTCTCTACCTGCTACTTTATCTCAGCAGTTCACTCCCGCTTCCCTCATTTATCCTCCCTCGCTGTATCTCCCTGCATCTCCTGCTGCTTTTTAACCTCTGCAAACCAACTTCATTAGCCCTTCTTCGGTGTTTGTGTTCTCAGATCTGCACTGTGCCAGCGCCCTTTTTGTATCTACATCTACTTGGGGTTTTCACTCTTGCTGCATGTGTTTTCTTTGGATGAAAACTTGGTGATGGTTGAATCTCATCTGGCTCTCTGGTGTTGTTGACCCTGTCCTGTCCTCTGCTCTCAGCGTGTGAATGGAGCAGTGTGCGAGTACGGCCTCCCTGCTGGCCTCAGTGCGGGAGCAGGAGAGGCAGTTTGAGATGCTGAGCCGAGCTCTGGAGGATGAGCGGAGGTCGTGCGCCGGCACCTTGCCCCGCCCCCTCCCCAACATGCAGGTAACGGGCAACAAATCCCATGCCCCTCCCCCACCCACGCACACGTTCCATCGACAAAAGTCCATCGGATTCACCCTTCCTTGATCCGAGCTCATCCAATGTCATCTCCATGGTCACCCCTATCCCCTCAGTGTGGACTGGCTGGATGGCAGCAGAACATAGAGGACCTGACTAAAATGCCTCCTTTGTGCGTTTTAATTTGACTGGACTCTTGATGCTCGCGTGAAATTTTGCTTGAGTTTTAGAAATTAAGATTTGACTCAACTAAAAGGACTAAGCACCTTCCAGTGAAGCCCTCCAGAGGAGGTCATTTTCACCCTTTGTTGCTCCTCACAGCTTTATTCAAAGCATTTTTGTCCATCCTCCATTGACTATCTCAGAAACCACCCTTACTCCTTCAAAATGAGTCTTCCCATCATCATCAGCATTATCATCATCATCATCTTATCCCTCCATGTGTCAAACTTAACACTGCCACCATCGCACTTGTCGTGACTGGTTCATGGGCTTTTGCATGCAGAGATATGTGCTTGCCTGCTTTATATTGAGGTATGATATCAGTCTTTTTCTGGATCATCGTGGAGGTGCAGTATGTCAACCAGCTGGTTTAAATTATAGATTTATTTCTGGTATAAGAAAAGCATTTGCTGCTACAGGTCAGACCTGTGATTCTTGATAAAACTCTTGATTTAGGGACAATTTCATAGCTGAAATGTGTTCCACTGTTTGCCTGCATGTAATCTCTTTAAACAGATTCTATATATCAGTATGTAGAATCTGTAGGTGAGGTAAACAATTTTGTGCTGGAATCCACATTCTCTACGTTGACCACATCACATTTGAGCATCTGGAATGAACCAGTGGGTGTACAGGTGTACCCGCAGTGTGAACGCACTCAGATCAGATAGTGATCCGATCAGGCCAGACAACATTTGGAGGTGGTCTGATCCACACGTGTCCACGTTCTTTAAGCGGTGTGAATGCACATCCGTCCTGGGCCACATATGAAGTGGCGTCCGATGTGCCGCTGCAGTCTCACTACGAATCAAACGTATTTTTCCTCCTCTTGTTGATTTGTTTGTAACCAACCCCACAATATCAACTCTGATCACCACGTAATGAACGATACTTTCCTTAAATTGGGAAAATCTTCATTCACAGCTTCACGAGGTTCATTCAGACTCTCCTGACTCGTCTCTCTACCTCTCTTTTGCTCGCGCCGACACACACACAGTGACATCAGCCACATCTGTAAACTCAGACTGGCTCAATTCAACATCGTTTGGTCTTAACTTACACAAATGAAGGACGTGTGCATGTAGAGCAGGGAAGTGAGATCCAATTACAAGTGGTCACAGTAGACAAGTTCAGGATGCATTTTAATGTAAGGTGGGAACACACATACAGTACTTAATCGGATTTCTCTGGATGGATGTTAACACCAGGTGTGTACAGGGCCTTAGTTTTCCACAGGTAAACAGTCGGTGTGGAGAGCAAAGGAGGCAGAATACATTGAACCGAATGCATAAGCTATCTACTTTTTAATTCAACTGACTATATATGTAGATAGCTATTAAAAGAGATGAGCCAAAATGTCCTCTGGACTTAAAACACCTGCGAAACTATTTGTGTGGAAAAGACAAAAGACTGTAAAAAGTGTACATCAAGTGTAGGAGTTATGGCCTAGATATCCCGTTTCCTCCAGAGGCTAATTTATCCAACGATAGGTGATGTGGTCCACGATTGATGCTGTCTTTGTCGTGGGCCAGTTAGTTAGCTGGTTCAGAGTGACCTCACAGACAGACACGCAGTCACACCCACACACACTCTCACACTTTCACTTCCTTATTGACACGCCTACTCATTACAGAGCATGAATAAGTGGACTTACACACACACTCTTGGCCTAGAGGCAACCTTTGAAAAACACACTTAATAATCAACTGGGCTCTCCCTCACTTTTACTGTTGGTAGTGGCTCTTGCATGTGGGCTCTAAGTCACTGGGACACATTCCTGTCCCAGGTGATTCTTGTGGCTGATGAGCAGCAGAAATAAAGGTGGAGTGTGTGCAGTATAGTGAGAGCAGGAGAGAAATGTAGCTTGTACGGGTTCTTATCTCTATGTGTTTACATAGCCCAAAGGCTTTGGCATGCCTCTGCCACTCTCCCAGGCAGTGCTGCACGACCTTAGTCATTACTGACAGGTTCCCACATGCTCACATCTGCCCAGGACTTTCTACTATTCCCTCTGAGTCCTAATCTGCACCCAATTCTCTGTTCTCTGGCTTTTTCTTGTTAACCTGATCCGGGCAGAGAATTGCACTTCAGAAAGTTGTTGTTGTGATACGTGAAAGTGCTAATTGCAATTATTAGTGCATATGTTTTTTTTTTATATATATATGAAAATACATTTGTCCGTTGGAGACAACTGCATGTCATCCTTGAATCAGTGGTGAGCAGTTTCTCCTCTGGCTCCGCTTCTTTATTTTCATACCATCAAGTTGTGAAAGGGCGTTTCAGATATTTAGAGCTCCCCCTGTGGCTGGAATGGGAAGTGCACCACACCCATCACCTCTCCTGGGCAGGCAATGCCAATGGTGACGACATGAGAGAGAAACAGGTTTTATCTCTCTGCTCGTCTCTCATTCATTTCATTACTGACTAACTGTGCTTGTTTATCTGTTCATTCCATCATCAAAGTTCATTCTTGCCGACCATGCAGACTTCTTTGTTTTTGCTGAAACACAATGCAAACTATGAACCAAAGCACTAAACCGTCAAATAATTCCATTTTTGTTTTCATTGGTTTTTAAAAGCTGCTGCATGCTTGTTTTGTTTCTGGTCAGGCTGTCATTAGCTAGTTGTTACCATTGTTGTCATATGGAAAAAATTAAGAAACATTCCAGTTTTTAAGCTTTAATGTGAAGGGCATGAGCTGTACAATGGGTGCCAAAATTAAAATGAAAGTGGATGACGGTTGCTGCTCTCACTTTTTTTTTCTGTATTCGTATTGCTGGACAAGTTCAACTGCCTAGTGACTGGTGTGTATGCGTGTGTGTTGGATCCCCTAATGTGTATTCCTTTCTCATGGCAGAACGGCCGCATACCTTGTAATGCAGATATAGAGAGGCTGACACTGAACGAGGGTTACATCAACGGCACACATCACGTAAGCACCTATTAGAGCTCTCTCAATGCCACTTATTTTATTTTTACCATGCTTAACTATAAGGACAACCCATGTGAAACCTCAATTTGCTATATTTCTGAAATATGTATGTAGTTCAGGATGGAGCCTGGTCAGGTGGTGCAGGAGACATACACGGTGGAGGAGGAACCCCAGGAGTCTCAGCCCGTCGTCTCTATGACCAGTGAAGATGGAACCACTCGGCGCACAGAAACCACGGTACAGAAATGGTTACAAATGAGTCTTGTCTTTAATCATTATGTAGCTGTTAACATTCATTGGAAGATTTTCCATGTGATTACGTTCCAATAACACAATTTCATGGCTGTCAATATTCAGCAGTAACATCTTGTTTTCCGTCTCCTGCTCTTTAAGGTAAAGAAAGTAGTAAAGACCACTACCACTCGCACAGTTATCCCCTCTGTGTCAGACACACTTTCCCTGGATGGTGGGGGATCAGTGACTGGCATGGGGGGTTACAGCACTCCCATTGACCGGGTCTACAGGCCGCCACCTAGTGGAGGAATGCCAATGGAATATCCCACTCACACCTTCCCCCGAAACTACCACTACGGGCCTCCTGGGGCTTATGATGAATACCGCAGTGGACCTCCTACTGACACCTATGCAAGCCTTAGCAGGGGAGGTCACATGGACGATCGCTACAGGTACCCCGTTTGTTGGAATTCATGTTTATGTCACTAGGATTCAAGCCATCAAGGCGAGGTAGACAATGAATTCATATTCTAATTGAATAATTTGTTCGGGTCTCGATCTCAACCTCTGCTTCCTTCTGTTCTCCAGACCAGTTCATCCAGATGGTTACAGAACGCTGGATCCAAGCTACAGAGCCCCCAGCAGGAACCAGCTGGACCCCTATGCTGCTCAGCCACAGGTATGTTCAGCTGTCACTGCATCACCTGCTTGCCACTCTTGCTAATTGTGCTGCTTTGTTTTATGTTTTATCTTAAGAATTGAACAGGATGTCATTTGGTAGACACCGGTTTTTCGATTGTCCTGTAGCTTTCATTACCAGACACTAACTCCTGCCTCTGTGTAGGTTGGACGCATGGCAAGTGCTATGGAGCTTTCCACCCTCCCGAGGTTTGTCCCAGAGCCTTATGGTCTGGAGGATGATCAGCGCAGCATGGGTTATGATGAGCCTGACTATGGGATGGGACACCCAATGCACTACAGCACCGTACCCCGCAACCATCATGCATTCCCCCATGGCCCCCCACGCAGGGCTGGGTAAGAGATATTTGTTTTTGTGGTGACTCATGTATGTTAATAGGAATCTAGAAGCAGGGGCACAGCGAGGAATGTTGGGCCACATGAAAGAATATGATACTGAACCCCCCGGCAAACCTAAACCACCCACCAGCCCTGAAAACCCAGTAGATGATCCATAGTTTAATAGAGAAAATTAAAAAAGTCTTATCAATAATACTAATAACAACAATAATAGTGTTCTCTGAGCGCCCCTGTCTGTGCTGGTTCCTTGTTGGGATTGGTTAATTTAAGGATGAGTAAAAAACCAACCAAAAGGTTATTTTATGTTAAAATGCAATTTGGATGCCATTACATTAGTCAGGGACTAAACTCAGACATAAATAATTAGAGTCTCTGGTTTGGTCACATTTTACGGGACTGTCATGGCTCAGCATGGTTAGATGACTCTAGAGATAGTGTGTACATTCTGAATAAAAACACAATGCACACTGATCTGAGCTCTGGGTTTGTGTTTGTTGACAACGAACAGTGTGTTGATCCTGCTTTTTCAGTCTGTCCCTGCCAGGGAGCCTACAGTAGCCAACTAGCTGTATGTCACAACCAACAGTGCAGATGAATTAATGAACAGTTTTCCATTTCCATCTTGTCTGTGCTCAAATATGGATGTCAGTTCTCAGTTGAAGCATCAGCTACTGGCAGTCCATTTGTAGTTAGATGGAATAGCATTTGGCAAATTTTTTTTTAAGCATGCATAATGATTAATTTTTATTTGTTTTATTGTTCTTGTTCAAAAGTTTGATCTATAATGTGCTTCTATAGACATGTATATTCAAGGAATCAAGTGATTAAAGTTGAAGTAATTGAAATTTCCCAGAATTAATTCTGTAAAGCTTTAATTATCTGATGTAACTAAATGAAATTGGATCATAAGATCAGTGCTGATATACAACCCTAGTCCTTCTTATAAACAATAACAAGGCAAACTCTGAACACATGTTCATCACTTTCCTCCACAGGAGTTACGAGGGCACCTTGGACGGTGACATGAGCGGTCCAGGGGACATGTATTACTGGGCGGGAGGAGCACCACTGGCCCAGGGTGAAAGAGGAAGCATGGCGTCGTTGGACAGCACACTGAGGAAAGTTCCTGGTCCCAGTGGCTGGCGTCAGCCAGAGCTGCCAGAGGTCATCGTCATGCTCAACTACAGACTAGACCCCGTCAAGAGCAATGCAGCCGCATACCTGCAGCATCTTACCTATAAGAATGATAAAGTAAGAGATGCACAAATGCAAACACAGCAAAGCTTTTAGCAACTCATGATGTGTTTGGCTTCAATTTGTAGATAAGAAGCAATAATTTGTCAGGAGCGTGAGGATGAAATACACTTGTTTGAGTGAGTTGAGAGTTTTTTGAAAACATCAAACCTTTAATTTATGGAGTACAGTGGAAGGTTTTTTTTTCTTATAAAGTTGGAAGTTGACAGGTGATTCAGAAAACTGGCTTCAAATTTAAACTAATGATGCCTGAAAAGATGCTTTTTGAGGCCACAGTTATCGAGAACAACTATTCAGTGCCACATTTTGGACCAGATCAGTCAATGTTGCTATTGAAGAATTAGTATCTATATGAGACCAGAGCTTGAACTCTGGCTTGAATGTGTAGTTGAACTTTACAAATATCAGTGGTGATACAGTAATATTGGGGGAATGTCTTAAACTGCATTCATAGAAGAAAAAACTGGTGCAAGACAAGATTTCTTCTAATCTTAAATAAAAAGAGCTGCAAAAGACTATGTCGATGGTTTGAGTTTGCCCACAGAAGTTATTCTTCTTAAAGGATTTTCCATGACACAATTTATAATAAACAGAAAATTGGACTTTACCTGACCACCATCCACATCCACTACTAACATGCATCCTTTCTTCCTCTTTCCAGATGAAATCTGATGTGCGTCGTTTAAAAGGCATCCCAGCACTGGTTACCATGCTTGACAATCCAAACAAAGAGGTCAGTTTGCTTCTCTGTCCCCCACTTCTTGCCTTTCAGTTTATTCTTGACTTTTTTACAAGTGTGCTATGATTGGACTAGGTGGGGTAAAAGTGAGGCTTAGGGAATCTTTCTTATGTAATACTGACACAATCCATTGGCCTGAGTCAAGTTTTGAGGAGAATGTGAGAGTAACACTCAACCGTAATCTTTGAAGAATGAGAAATGGAAATAAGCATTACGTATCTGACCATTCTTGTTAAATCCTGGAGATCAACATTTGTGCTAAATTTGGTTTTGACCGAAACATTCTCCCTTTCATTTCGGGTTAGGGTTGTGGTAACGTTTTGCTGATGTTTGAATGGACGTTACCAGACAAACCACATCACACATTCCACTGTCAGAGCAAAGAAGCATCTTAATTTCACATTTCATGCTCTACGGCCAAAGACTAGTTGGAAGTCTGGTGTGTGCCGAATGACTTGCTGACTGGGGACATGGGCCAGACAGCAACTACATCCACTTGATGTTCTTTTTATTTCTGTAGCGTATTAGGAACATCATAAAAAAACCACTTGCTCTGGAGTTTGGTGCATTTCTGAAAGCTGCTATATTTCACTGAAACAGAGCCGATAGCCAGAAGTTAGTGAGCAAGTTATGGAAAAGTGCACTTCTAGTAGTTTTACAGAAAGTGCATGTTCATGTGTTTTGGGGGCGTAGCTTTGACGAGAGGGCTGATAGGAGGGGGGTGGGTATCCATTGCATTTTTTTCCCAATGTTTTTCTGCTATTTCCAGGATTACCAACCCTAGCTTTAATGTAAAGTAACATTGGTTAACAGTGAAGAAATGTGGCCACCCTTTTAGGGTATGCTTGCATTAGTATCTCCTGCCAAGACCCACATACTATATATTGCAGGCTTATGGTTTCAAGGGCATGCCAACTATCCCAAATCCATGTATGTGTTAGTGCTATCCAAGTGATAGTCCATCACGTCTAATCATTCATTAAACTGTTACCTCCATACTGTTCCAGGTTCACTATGCAGCCTGTGGGGCACTAAAGAACATCTCTTATGGTAAAGATGCAGACAACAAGATCGCCATCAAGAACTGTGATGGAGTTCCTGCGCTAACCAGGCTGCTGAGGAAGACCCGTGACCAGGACCTCACTGACACGATCACAGGTTGGAAGCACACAAAAACAGTTTCCCATCAAATATTTTCTTATTTTTCCTGCTTGTTTCTTTATCATTCCTTCAGTCCTGATGGTAGATGATATATTTGCATGTCTGTGTCATTGTCAAGATTCCTATATCCTCTTCTGGATACCTACCTTTCCAAAATTCCCTAGCATTGGCTTTTATATCACTATTAATACAATATATGTATTGCTTCCAATTACACTTTCTTAAAAATAAATGACATAAGTAAACTAATATTCAGATTATATGGAGCATTTACCCATGTATTTATTGTAGTGCTTTACATGTCATTTCCGCAGGTGCTGGTTGGATGTTACATATTTTATGCATATGTATCTGTATTCATCTGGACTGAACTGTGACTTCTTAGGTTAATTGATAACTTATGGTTGTTGTATTCTCATTCAATCAATGATTATCCCAATGTAACTTTCTGAGTCAGAGAAAACAGCAGTTCATTTCTTGGTTAAATAACTTGTTTGGTTTTTAAAACATTAGAAAATAGAGATAAATGCCCAAAACAAAAAAGATCTGCGTATCATTTGTTAATAATTCAACATATTTCAATTGAGAATCCAAAATTGGATCTGATACCAAAAAATAAATTCCAGCTTGTTTTTCATAACTTTTATACTCAAAAATAGGAAATGAATGGGCCCAAAGCTGAATTTGATTTTGATAATTAATTTGTCCAACTGATGTAACTTGGAAGTCATTGTGTTATTAGCTATTTGTTACATGCCACAGGATCATATATGGGATTATATAAATTAATTTGAAGACCATGATGAAGTATATTTTCAGATTTAAGGAACATAAACCATCACATAGATTTTTTTGAGTAATAATTATTTAATTGTCAAAATAATTGCCCATTAACTTTTAGTCGATTTTGCTAATAAATCGATGATTGACTAAATACTGCAGCTCTAATATGATGTCTCATAGCAGATTTAATGGACTCTCTCTATTTAGACTGGTTAACACACAAATCACAAAATGTAACCATCCATAAGCCTTGTTTTCGATAGGGCTATTTTCATAGTGACAGTTGGTGCTGCAAGAATGTTGTATAACTAAACAGGACATTTTTGCATACTTAAATTTCTGTATTTTTCCCAGGGACGCTGTGGAACCTGTCGTCTCATGACTCTGTGAAAATGGAAATTGTAGACCATGCACTGCACGCCCTCTCCGACGAGGTGATGGTGCCCCACTCGGGCTGGGAGAAAGGGAGCAATGGAGCAGGAGGCGGCGAGGAGAACTGCAAGCCCAGACACCTCGAGTGGGAGACAGCCCTCACCAACACAGCAGGCTGCCTGAGGTAGGGAGGGAGAGAAGCAGGGATGAAGGTGTAGGTTGTATCAGAAGGCAGATTAGAGCTGTTTGATTATTGGACAGAGAGAGAAGTCGGCAGTGATGGTGAGATGGAACAGGAAAGTGGACAGATGCCAGTTTACCAGACGGATAGAGCTGTGGGATGTATAAGGGAGGAAGGAAGCGATGAAGAGTTGGCAGAGCAGAAGAGCAGGAAACACATGATGGAGTGGTTTTAATGGAGAGGCAAAAAAGTATCTATCAATTTTATGTGAAGAATTTTGTGTCACTAATAATCACAATGATAAAAATAGTGAGATGACTAACACCTGATGTGCGTTTACCGGTCAGAGTAAACTGTCCATACACTTTATAAACCTTTTACCTCATTTTAACAGATGTTGTAATTGCGTGACAGTGAAAGAGTGAGAGAAAGAACTGCATTAAATGCCACAAGTGCGAATAGAACTATGAGATCTGACTCAGTAACAGGTTATTGATACTGGTGCGAGCTTGTGGTAGTTTGCGAAAGCGTAACAGCGCGAGGGAGCATGTGGAAAATAGTGTAAAAACATATGTTGGTTCATTTTGAAACTGGGGCAAATAAGAATATGACTTCCACATATAAACATGATGTCTGCATTGATTTTATATTGTGCTCATTGAAATAGTTGTGGGCTTAATGTTAGTTATTTATTAAAGAAGAAGTTCCGGTTGACTTAAATCGTCACAGTGATGAGGACGAGTGGAAGAGTTTACAGGGAGGGGGCGAGCAGAGGACAGTGGGGCATTGACTCAAACAGTGTAAACAGTATGTTCCAGCCTCCAGGTCTGTTATCTGTGCATTCCCCTTGACCATACGGTTAATTACAGCGTTCACTTGTGGCCTTAGAGAAGTATGTGTGAATAACTTGGTAATCTTGATCATTTGAAAACTTTGGTATTTGCAGAAAGGGTCTGGACAGTATCGTTCATTACACAGTATGACTAGATCTGCACTGTTAGATAAATCCTACAGATTATTACTGAGAATGCACCAACATGTTGATCTTGACTTACAAATGCAGACGTTACTTTTATATTATAATAATTGCTCACGTGCTTGTGGTTCACTGGTTCTTGCTTTTTCTTATCTTTATTCTTCGTTTGTACGCAGTCAACATAATTACTGATGTGTATATCACATATCTCCCCATGTAACATGTATATGATCAAATTAATACAGCCTGAAGAGTTTTAACATAAACACTAGTTTTTGAACTGACTGGTGTATGATCTTAGGAAACAGTCTGACAGGTGGCATATTCAAAGGAAGTCTTGAGTAAATCCTGGTTTGACAAGTGTTGTATTAAAAGATGATTCCGGTAGGTTTCAGATAAATTGGGTGAAATTTATTTTTGTATATAAAGTCGAGTAAAGCAGTGAATGGGAGACTTGGAACCCCTTCAGACATTTTAATGCCAGGTGTGAACAAATGTGTGTAGAGCTGTCCACAGATGTTTAATTCCAGGTCTGAAAAGGGCGTTCCACACCTATGGTAAGTAGCTCCCTATGTCCTCACACATGCCTGTCCAAAGTGCATAAGAGGCCTGGCGGTTGGCAGACAGAGGTTGAATTATTTGGTTCTTGTGTTTCCGCCAGCAGCTGCTCTGTTATTGCGTTAAAGGTTAATCTAGAGGTAGGAGATCTAAAACTGACTAATCTTCCCCCATTGAAGTGTATACTTTCTGTTCAGAAGGTTTCTTTCTTTCTCATCCTGTGCACAGACAGTGACTTCACCTGACAATAGAATCATAGAAATGTAGAAAATGTGGTGGATGATGGCCCTCTCCTGCGCTGCTGTGCTGATTTGATTTAGTTTGTATTTACTATTATAAATGGTGCAGTGAAGTAAAATGAGTGCCCCCTGCTGTGGAGAGGAATGCGTCCTGTTATTGTGTGAGAGGGTGCGTCTGTCACCAGGAAAAACAGGCCAGCCCAAAACACCAAGGCTGAATATCTTGGGTTTCGTATCAGTTTTCCATCCATCCACTGCTGTTAGATCTTTTATGTGGGACTCAATCACAGAGCAAGTAAAGAAATTGGTCCCGAGCTGTAACTTGAACCAAACTCTTTGTAAAGCAGGAGTTTTGAACAGGAGTTTCATTCAAACAGATCTTGGGGGGGAGTGTTCAAGCATTGTGTGCAGGAATTCCTTTTGTAGTGACTTGTTTATTTCTCTAGCCGCTAATCCCTATTTTGTTCTACATTGTTCTTTCTCATCCTCTCAACTTTCCGCTTGTCTGAAGAAATGTGAGTTCGGAGCGAAGTGAGGCGAGGAGGAAGCTGAGGGAGTGCAATGGATTGGTCGATTCGCTCATGTACATTGTCCAATCCCAGATTGATTGTAAAGATGTTGACAATAAGGTTTGTGGATTTATTTAACATTAGACATTTGAAGCATTTTCCCCCTATTTACCAATTTTTTTTCAGCAATAAGTAAATAAATAAGATTCAGTATATGTTTCACTGCCAGTGGGTGATTTGGTGTAGTTTTTATTGAGACAATTTGCAGGATCAGTTTGTATTAAGATAATACAAAAATAAGATTTCATACTTTTTCTCTATCATCTCTTTTTGTCACCCACCAGTTGATAGAGAACAGCATGTGTCTGCTGAGGAACTTGTCCTATCAGGTTCACCGTGAAATCCCTGGCTGTGAGCGCTACCAGGAGGCCGCGCCCATAAACCAGGGCCCCGCCCCCTCCAGCCAGAAGGGCGGCTGCTTCAGCTCCCGCAAGGGCAAAGGTAAGAGAGAGAGAAAAGAGCTGTATTTGTTTAGTCAGTAGGAGAAAGAATCAGAATTACTGTGATGTCACTGTTTTCAACTGTGTCTTACTCGTTTAATACTGACACACACACACACACACACACACACACACACACACACACACACACACACACACACTCTTGCACAAACATTTGCTCGCACAGGAATGTGAACAATTTCCCCGACTGAGAGAAAGCTCATGCTCTCTCACGCTTTGTTTGCGTTTCACTGAGAGTATTGATTATTTGGCCCTCAACTACACAAGCCCTCGCGGCTGTTTTGTGGTTTTTTTCCAGTAATAATTATAAAATGATTTCACAGTGGCAAAGAGTATCTCTCAACATTGATATTGACAATAATTCAGATACCGTGTCCTCCCTTCTGCTTTTCTTTGTTTTTGATGTGTCTTGTTTTATAAAGATAATTTGAGTCAGTGTGATATTTTTAGATTGTTTTCATTATCCATCAATCTTAATTGATTAACAAATTATTATTGTAGTTTATGAAATGTCAAAATTTGGAAAATAATTTTCATCACAATTTTCTACAGACCAATGTTTTGCATTTTGTCCTGGGAAATGACTGAAACGATTGATTGAAAATCTAAATATTTATTTATTTAATATCCTATAAAAAAGATCATTGTTATGTAGCCAGAGCATTGAGTTGATGGTTGATTTTTAACAGCGATCTCTCAAGAAAATAAGATTGACTGTAATTGGACTTTTACATGGAGCCAGACTAGATTTGTGATTACAATGTGATAAATGAGACCGAATATATAACTACTGTGTGAAAGAGAAGATTCCATCTAAAGAACCTGCTATGTCTGCAAAAGAAATGTGCAGTGCCATGCCTCAATCTGATTGTACAGAGCGATTGCGATGTGTATTATGAAATTACATGAACGAGTGTTTGCTTTACTTTGCTTTATTTGACACCTTCACACTTGGCATGTCACATAATTGACTGTGTGTGGTGGTAGCAGTGCCTTCCTGATGTAGTCAGGTGTTGACTGGGTGCCTCAGTTATGGCTGCTTTGCCCTTATCTAAATGCTCTCTCTTCCTCCTGTTCTGCCATCCTGTCCCTCTTCATCCCTTCCTTTTTTTTGTCTGTCCTCCCTCCTCTCCATGTTTCTCTCGTGTTTTTGTGCTGGGCTACAGATGAGTGGTTTTCCAAAGGTAAGCTCCTTACCTCTGTATGACTGCACTGTGCTTCTGCTGCCTGCTTTTGTTGTAGTGATAGCCGTAGAAGAGTAGCTATAGCTGAGCTAACAGGTTGTAGTATTGTCTTGGAACTAACATGCACGCTTCCTTCTCACTGTGAAAGAATTATATTGAAATATGCATCACTCGTTGGTCGGTTTCTATTTTACCTTGACAATATACATCTAACCTCAAAAATTATATTTCTAAGGCTACATCCACACTACTAAGTTTTTATTTGAAAATGCATCAACTCTGCTATGGAAATGCCTGACGTCCACTAGAGTGTAGAGAGAGGTCTGGACAGGCAAAAATGGAGATGGTCAGAAAAAATGACAAAGAAACTCTGATTGGGTCTCTGTCACAACATAGCCTTTGCTGATTCCCCAGGCTCCCATCACAAAGACCCCCTTTAGATAGAAAACAATTGGCATTAGCCTCAGCTACCAGTGTAGGACACAATATTGATTATCACTTACAACTGTGGTGCAGTTAAATGCTGCATTATAGTATAGACAGGGATTCAAACTGATTTCAAATGAATACGTAGTAGTATGGATGTAGACAGACAGTAGATACAGTTCTCTAAATAAATCGATTATATTTTTTATGTGTTTGTAAGACTGTAATTTTACTGCTTGCTTCCAGGAAAGAAAGATGAGGATACAGGTGCAGATGTAATAGACATTCCAAAGAGGACCACGCCTGCTAAAGGTAAAGAGTTGTGTGTCAACACTTTCACTGTATATATTTTACTGGCAAAAAGAAGTAAGCAGGTGCTAATAACACTCATGTTCCCTCTGCCTCTCTTCTATACTTGTCTTCCCTTCTGTTTCTTCTGCTTCTTCTTTACTTGCATCTCCACACTTCTCCTCCTTCTCCACCTGCTCTCGGCACTCTCTCCCTCGTTCCCTGTAGGCTACGAGCTGTTGTACCAACCAGAGGTGGTCCGCATCTATACCTCTCTGCTCAAGGAGTCTAAGAACCCCACTGTGCTGGAAGCCTCGGCTGGAGCTGTTCAGAACCTGTGTGCCGGCCGCTGGACTGTAAGAACAACTATCTGCATTTTTTTCCTTTTTCAGAGCCCCATAGCTCTCTGTGCTGAGTCACTATTGTCCCAGATTGAGGTAATTGGAGCAAACATGAACAGAGACCAATGCACGGCACTGGCTGTGTTCTCCAGGAGCAAACAGAAACTAGACAATATCAAGTCATTTTATACAGTTTGGGAAATGGAGTAAGGCATTAATATGCAGCATTTACCCATGACCTTGCTTCTACTTTTGACTTTGAACATCCATGTTTTTGGAGAGGAAAAATTTGCAGCATACAATTAGTGGGAGGATTATTAATCAAGCAAAAGTAGTTTGAGTTTCTTTCCTTGGGAAAGATGTCAAATGTTACTTAATACTTGCCGACCTCCGGTATGAATACAGTGTAATCTTTTGATATGATCATCTACCAAATGCTGTAAATGTGCTATATGTTTGTCTGGGGTCAGTATGGGCGATACATCCGTGCCTTGCTGCGCCAGGAGAAGGGATTACCCATGATAACAGAGCTTCTGGCACACGGGAATGACCGCGTGGTCCGAGCCATGTCTGGCGCCCTCCGCAACCTGGCTATTGATGCACGTAATAGAGATCTGCTAGGTGAGTGCTTTCTGTGTGTCTCAGTTGCATTATGTAAGAAATACCAGTAAGATTCAAAGAAACCAGAATAATACTGTAATGTTTTACCCTCTCACGTGTTTTTAGGGAAACATGCAGTGCCTCACCTTGTGGCCAACCTGCCCGGTGGGGGTCAGAGTCAGCCTGTGCGAGCGCTGTCAGAAGAGACGGTGGTGTCGGTATTGAGCACACTTCAAGAGGTGCTGGGCTCCAGTTTGGAAGCAGCCAAGACCCTCAGGGCCTCACAGGGCATCGAGAGACTGGTGCTCATTAACAAGGACGGGTGAGACACTTCACAGTTTTGATTTTCTTCCTCTCATTATATTATCTTTTTATTATAAATTCTGTCCCTTTGCTCTTCTGTCCAACAGTAATCGCTCAGAGCGGGAGGTGCGCGGTGCCGGCCTGGTGCTGCAAACAGTGTGGGGCTACAAGGAGCTGCGGCGCACTTTGGAGAAGGACGGCTGGAAGAAGACAGACTTCATGGTCAACCTGAACCCTCCCACCAACAACAGCAGGGCCAACGGCGGATATGAGGACAGTACTCTGCCACTCATAGACAAAGGTGAGTGAGTGAATGCTCTTACTGTTGATTATGTACATATCAAAGATTCATTAAGACTAATACCTGCAAAATAAACTAAGTTGATTATTATTGTGATTTTGATATATTTTAAATTATGTATTATGATTTCTGTCATCTGAATTGATGATGATTTTTGGTATTTCAGTCCAAACTAAGATGTGTCTGATTTACTAGGGGCTTGTTCCTATATAGTTCTTATATCTGCATATTTCAAAGAATAAACTAAGTTTCATTTAATTCATAACATCTCAACCTGCTTAGCAGACATTTTAGGATTTACCACAGTGTCTTTTTTAGATGATCCAAACTAGAGTTGTCCATCACCAGACTGTGTTTAAATGTCTATTAAATGTGTTAAAGATCTTTATGCTTTTTGACACTGACTTAAACGTTTAAATATATATTTGCAAATAGTAGCCAGCTTGAATCCAACACTCGCACACCTACACACGTCTGTCGTTGGCAGGAGATGCTCTGGCTCTCTAAGGAAACAGAAAAGTGATGCTCAGTGTGTTTGTGTCTTTGATACACAGGCGGCAAAGGGGACCGGGAAATGATTCCAATGAATGACTTGGGACCAGGTGAGCGTAAAAACAGAGAAGACACACACACACACACCTGGGTTAGGGATATGGTTTGGGTTAGATCATGATTAAAATCAAGTGGGAATCATCTTGCCTTTCATTTCAGCGCTCATGTTATCAAGTGAGCGTGGCCTCACTGCCTGCATAAGCTGTTATTATTGCAAGACTAGAAGCTGCACGGATCATACCGCAGAGTCCTGGCATGTAGTTGGATATATAATTATACTTTTATTCAACGAAATACAGTTGTTACACCAGAATGTAGAAGCTCTTCTGCAAACACGCAGACTCACACTGACTGTGTGAACAATAGACATGCACGAGACGAGCAGATTAGCGATGCAGCCGTCATACATATACATACATCCAGTGTGGCCCGCAGAAAACACCCACTAACATCTGGGTTTTGTCTACAATGGGAATGGATACAAACGGCATTCAACCTCAGGACAAATGACTCAACAGCAGACACAAGTTTTTGTTGGCTCCGGCTCTGATCGGCTGTGTTGGAACTTGGCACCATGGATGTTTGTGTACTCGCTGTTTTTAACATCTTGGGAACAATGTGCAGCAGCCAATTTTTTTCATTGTGTCATGCAAAATGCAACACTGGCAGGACAGACCAACACACATATTTACCTCTGGCCTAACGTATTTTTCTCCTTGAAGATGCCTACTCCACACTGGACCAGAGAGGGAGAAGGAACACTCTAGATAATACACTCGAACCTGCTGACAAAGATGCAGTACAGGTAACCACTGGCTACATGTGCACACGCAACACCCCTCCTACATACATTACCCTGCATGACTGCACCTTAAAGCAAATTGACCTAACTCCCTTTAATTCTAACATAAACTCTACAACATACATCCTACATCTCTCCCGGAACACATGACTGTGAGAATGAATAGTACAGATGAGACCAGACCTTTTCTTACCGGCAGAACGGTTTCTCACAGGATGTAATTCTGTCACATTTTCCAGTGAATTCAGGAAACATTGGTGTAGTCTGTGAAGCAGAAGCTGTTGAGGTGGAAAAAAAATTGGAAGTTGTGGAACAATGCCTTGCAGTGCACACTTTGTTTTTTGTCATAATTGTTTGTATTTAAGAGAAGATGTTTACATATATATATA